CCCCCCCAATCTCTATTCCAGCTCAGGCACTGGTGAGCATCAGCATCCTGGAGCAGGTGAGGTGCCAGTTAAACACACAATGCCTGAACCTTCTTGCTTGGGAAGACTATTCAGCTCAGGGAAGTTAAATTGGATGTTAAAACCACAGGGAGGTGGAGGTTTTCTCTGCACTTTTGCTTGGATTCCTGGCTTGCACCTATTGGTAGGATGGTGCATATTAAGAGAAGCCAAGTGGTGCAACTGCAGGTTGGGATCTGGAGGAATAGTGGGTTCCTGAACAAGAGCTTTAAACCTAATGTGCCCTTTATCACCACCAATCCTTGTGTTCCCTCCTGAGTATGTCCCAGCTAAAACCTTTGTGTCAGCCAAGGCATCACTGAACACTTGGAAAAGCTGAGCAAGAGGTAATGGTTCGAACTGTGACATGAGCAGGGTCCCACCTATACAAACACAGCCCTTCCTGGAGATCTGAAACCTGCAGCAAAATGAGTCCATAGTTACATGGCAAGTGCTGATGTGGAATATTGGCCTCCAGTACAGGCCAGTGGCAAGGAAGGAAGGCTGAACCATGATGCTGTTCCCATCCTCAAGGACTCATGGGCACATTTGGTCCAAAGCACAGGTCTGTGGGTTCAGAAGAGACAAGTCTCTTCCCATAACAGTGCTCATCAAGGTGAGTATCACTGTTAGCCAAAGTTGAGTCAAACCACATGGACCTTGTCCTCAGACTTGTATTTTGAATCCTGATGATAAAATCAGTTATTTATGGCAAAATACAGCTTATTTTCCCACAAAACAATTTGTCCAGCACTGCAGAGTGCACAGCAATCTCAGGAAAAATGGAGGAGGTCAGCAAGTTTTGATGGCACTTTTAAACAGTAGGACATTAGACAAATCATAAATTTGCAGCATAGGCTGTTTTGGGCAGGGATTGGTTTAATCCTGCTTGGTAATGGATGTCTCAGCACCCTGAACAGGGAGCAGAAGGCACAGGTTGATCTCACCAGCAAAGGTCAAATGCTGCTTACACTCATGAGATGTGGTTTTGAATAAGAAATGGTTTTCCTTCCTGGGGTAAAGACATCGAGTTTTTCAGTCTTAGCATCAGTTGGACTGCAAAAATAAAAATAATGGTATTTTTGGTTTTAATGCTTGGCTAAGAAATATGTCAAAGTGGTTGCCTGACCTGTGGTGATGAGCTGAGGGAGCTACCCGAGTGAAGCTGCTCTGCCATCTGCAGGCCATTGCTCTCCATGCTGGAGAGGTGTAAAGCAGAGCTTGGGAGCTTCTCTCCGTCTCCAGAAATTACTATTTGTAACAAGTCTTGGGTTTTTTTCTATGTCAACATTGCACAACAAATACAACCTGTTTCCACCTGATCCTGTGAATAGTCACCTCAGTTCTGCCAAAAAAAAACCCCAAGGATAGTAGAGATAAGCAAAAACTCTTTAGATTTCTCTAGAGTTTAATGAATAATTGCTTTTTATTTTCTTGTATGTTGTTCAGTTTTAAAAGTAAACGTTTTTCTGCTTAGAAATGAGACATTTCATCATATGACAGTCAAATTCTGTCCATCACCCACAGTCCATTAAATCTTTAGTAACACTTTTTAACATCTTTCTTAGCTGGACCGTGTTGCTGTTGTGTTCATCTCCCATTGAATGTCAGGAGTTGCTTCAGCACGCAGCAACATTCAGCAAAAGTGTGATGTTTGTGGACAGCAGTAAATACTTTAGACTGGTGATTCCACTGTTTAATATCTTGGTTTTTTTCATAGAATCATAGAAGGATTTGGGTTGAAAGGAACCTTCAAAGATCATCCAGTTCCAAGCCCCCTGTCATGGGCAGGGACACCTCCCACTAGACCAGGTTGCTCCAAGCTCCATCCATCCTGGCCTTTTCCCAACTTTTATCTCAATAGCTTAAATATAACTATTGTTACCTTCTTTATGTCTAGGTATTTGAAAAATACCTAATCTGTGCTTTCCCTAGATGTTTTTTTTACCATTGGGAAGA